TGTTAAGCCCTCCCACTATTTTCCAAGAGGGCGTTGCCAGATTTTCAATTTCAGGTTTTAACCAGGAGATGGCGCTTCATTCACAAATACAGAAAGACAAGTTTCATGGACTTGCAGTTGTGTTTTGAAGAGCATTTGAACACATCAATATTTTAGATCAACTAAAGTGTATCTAATCTTGTAATTCAATCATATATAGTCTTTATATATTACTAATCTAATCACTAATCACGGGGTTTGTCAAACAGAGCACATGGTGTATTCCTAAACGATAGCTGGGGATTCTGGGTATTGTAGTGTCTTCTGCCATCCTTTACTCCGAAAAATAAAAAATTATTCGAATCGAAGGGGAAAAATACAAAAGCATTGCACACAATTTAAACCAATCAATGTTGTGTAATTAACAAGGATAATCTGGTGTTTTTTAGTCGAAGAGTAGTGCAGATATCACTGTAAAATCAATCGACAGTAAGGGGAATACTTACTTCCGGGTGTACAATTCTCCGTTATCCAATGGGAATGGACGCTCACATTGCCTTTAAGGGCAGCCGACACAAACGAATGCGGTGCTTCCATGAGCGTCAAATCCCGTCGCAGATGGGAATCAGGGGGTAGACATTAAGGGTAAAATGCCACTGGCATGTATTATTGTATTATCACTGGCCCCACCATTGTAACCACTGGCCCGGAGCATTCGTCCAAAAAAAAATCGACTAATAATGAAGAAAATTAACACATTTGTTGCAATAGTAATTTATGCACTAACTACATTACTACTTGTACTACAACATTTGAACAATCAGTTCTTCCTCATTTTCCTCAATTGTTCATATTTGGTTTATTAAAATAATGATATTGTGGTCATTGTTGAAAAATGTCTGCTATTATTATGAGTATTATTATTTGTATAATGCACTTTCTGCCTTCCTATCATCAGGAGTTAGAAATGTAATGGCTATGTAATTGATTTGATTAGATCCTTCATTATCCTAAACTGCTGGGACATTTCCCTCTAGCCAATACCTTTAGATGTTCTACTCTTCACTTACTGTCAGCATAGGTCGGCATTGATGTACAGAGCCGACAGAAGACCTTGTTTATATTGGCATCATATTGAGAGGTGCAGCCAGTGACGCGTCATAAAACCAGGAAGTAAGTTGCTGGTTCCCTCCAGAGAAAGCAATGGGATTTCTCCACAGGGTTTTGGAAAATAGCTGGAACTAAGGTCTGTGGAAAACAAACCTGTTTGATAAATGCACGTTTTGTTCAGCCGGATAATCTCCACATGTCTACCCTACTTTTATAATGTTCTAATCATAAATCTAATCGATAGATTATAAAAGGGTTTTAGGACGCGGCACTGCACCACTAGAAGCCAACTCCATCCATCAAGCTGAAACCTTCTCTCCCTCTCATGCTCCCTGTCACTCTCCTTTAACTCCTCCGGAGACTTTCTTTTATTTGAAGATAGTTTTTTGCCCGGCGCTTGGCCGGTTACCGCTGGTATTAAAAACATTTTGGTGAATGGTTAGGTGGCGCGATAGTCTGTAGTGAAGGAGCACGCTCCCGCTCACGGGAGCCTGCTCGCGCTGCGCTCCGCACCAAACAGCTGTTTGCTTTTCCCCCAACAACGACAACCGACTCACGGAACGCTATGTTGTAGCGTTGATAAACGAAACAATTTAACTAAATTGCTAGTCAAAATACCAATACCACAGGAAACATTTTTTTTAAAGCAATATTTTTAGTGGCCCGAGTGGGCAAGTGGAAAGTACGTTATGCTGGCCCGGGGTGTCTAAATAGTGCTTCCGGGCCAGCGGGCCATTTATAATGTCGAGCCCTGGGAATACATTGCAATCAGTTGAAAGCTATTTGCGTCCCTTTATGAAGCTGAAGGAGCCTCGGCGTGTCACAACTGCACGCCACGGGACCCTGACCAAGCGTCGCTCCTGGACGCTTAGGGAGTGAGAGTGTGTTGGTATGATAGCTGTCTAACAGAAGTTACATCCATTTCTCACTTATTCTGACAATGTACTTAACCCAATAAAATGACCCAATAAAAAGAGTTGTTAAATAATAGTGAAGTCACGTTGCAATAACAATAACTCATCTGTCTCGAGTTTTCTTTTTGTGCTTTGCCAAAAGCCACTGTGTCAAGTGTCCTACTTGGGTTGCCGGTGTCAGTACCATATGTGCTCGGGCTACCAGATCTGCTCGAGGTCCGTCGCTTACCAATGACGTCACGCGTTGTGATTGGCTGTACGGTAATCGCACGCTGATTGGTGTAACTAGGGGCGCTGACTAGCGTATACCGGGGCCCTTTCTCATTAGACTAAGTCTCGAGGATAGGAGTCGAGGAGGGGAGTTAGAGAAAGGAGAAAGGGCCCGGGGGTCTGATCAAAGACGAATGAGTGTAGGTAGAGAGAGAGAGAGGAGAAGAATAAGAGAAATCGGGGTTTTTAAAATGGTGACCGAGGCGTCTGCTAAGTAATTCTCACAGGAAAAGAGGGATGGAGGAGGGATCAGAGCTTAGGAGACCAGCAGGAGACTGATGTCCAAGAATGAGTCAAAGCAGGACTTGTGCAACCTGGCAAAGTTCAAGAAGTCAGAAGATTGCTCTTTGTAATCTTATGCAGTTCAACTGTTAATAAATATTTTAAAAGGATTTGGCTTTGTCAATATAAATTATTTCCCTTATATCTTTTACTATCTTATATAGAGGTTCGAAAGGGTAAAATTGCCAATTTAGAAATACAAAACGATGTAGGTTAGAGACGAGTTAAATAAGCTCATATTTGAATTCCCCATAAAAAAAACCACATAATTTAGACACCCCCATGTTAGGGTTTCCTTCAGATTCATGTTAGCACCTGAGTATGACCCGCCCTATTGGTGTATGATCACATTTGATTTCTAATTTTAAATAAAAGGAAATAAATTCTCAGTTATTGTCAAACAGGAGTTTAAATCAATTTCTCGCTTATTGTAAGAATGTATTTCACCATATTCATATTGAAATGATCGGGAAATGACGTTGTAATGATAATAAATCACCTCCCTCATTCAGATTAATGTCGATTGTTATTGTTTATGTTTGAATGTTAAAAAAGAAAAATCGACAGTGTTGTAGAGCCGATGAAAGGGAGTCAGCAGGATGATCTTGTATACACGCTACACAAGCTAGAATGACAACACAACACCGGTGCACTCACTAACTCGTCCGTGGTGCAACACACACTATATAACCCAGTGAATTGTGTCCCGTAAATGTCACCAGTGTAAACATATACTGAACAAAAATATAAACGCAACACTTTTGTTTTTGCTCCCATTTTTCATGAGATGAACTCAAAGATCTAAAACATTTTCTATATACACAAAATAACCATTTCTCTCAAATATTGTTCACAAATCTGAAAAAATCTGTGATAGTGAGCACTTCTCCTTTGCCGAGATAATCCATCCCACCTCACAGGTGTGGCATATCAAGATGCTGATTAGACAGCATGATTATTGCACAGGTGTGCCTTAGGCTGGCCACAATAAAAGGCCACTCTGAAATGTGCAGTTTTGCTTTATTGGGGGGGTCTGGGGGGGTCCGAAAACCAGTCAGTATCTGGTGTGAGGGGTAGGGGTAGGGTTAGGGGTAGGGTTAGGGTAATGTTGTGAATTGAGTGGCCCATGGTGGTGGTGGGGTTATGGTATGGGCAGGCGTATGTTATGGATGACGAACACAGGCCACTCAATTCACAACATTACCCTAAGCCTAATTCTACCCCTCACACCAGATACCGACTGGTTTTCGGACCCCCCCAGACCCCCCCAATAAAGCAAAACTGCACGTTTTAGAGTGGCCTTTTATTGTGGCCAGCCTAAGGCACACCTGTGCAATAATCATACTGTCTAATCAGCATCTTGATATGCCACACCTGTGAGGTGGGATGGATTATCTCGGCAAAGGAGAAGTGCTCACTATCACAGATTTTTTCAGATTTGTGAACAATATTTGAGAGAAATAGTTATTTTGTGTATATAGAAAATGTTTTAGATCTTTGAGTTCATCTCATGAAAAATGGGAGCAAAAACAAAAGTGTTGCGTTTATATTTTTGTTCAGTGTAATTATGTAAATAACCCAATTTGTGTTCTGTGAAACGGAAAAGGATATTACATTGTTTTTGTTACTTTCGTTGCAGTGTCTTAAATGTAATTTAGGTTAACTTCCTGTTTTATTTAGAATGATTATTATTACCTCTTGGGTTGCCGTACAGCCAATGCGTGACGTCATTGGTAAGCGTAACGGACCCCGAGCAGATCTGGTAGGCCGAGCACATGTGGTACTGACACCGTATGTAGTTGTCAAATATGGCGGACCATCGCGCGCATGCGCACTGCAGATAGGCAGATCGGCAGATCGGGTAGTGACTGTCACTACCCGATCTGCAGCTCTGCCCGATCTGCAGTGCGCATGTGCGAGATGGTCCGCCATATTGGACAACTCCGGACGGCAACCCAAGATGGACACTTGACACAGTGGCTTTTAGCAAAGCTCAAAAATAAAACGAGAGAGAGATGAGTTATTGATATGAGTTATTGTTATTACAACGTGACACTATTATTTAACAACTCTTTTTATGGGGTTCTTTTATTTGGGGTTAAGTACATTGTCAGAATAAGTGATAAATGAATTTAACTTCTGTTAGACAGCTATCATACTGAATAAATATTTACTGTGAATGTGTGCAAAAATGTATGGCATATAGCTGTCTAACAGAAGTTAAATTCATTCCTCACTTATTCTGACAATGTACTTAACCCCAAATAAAAGAACCCAATAAAAAGAGTTGTTAAATAATAGTGAAGTCACGTTGTAATAACAATAACTCATCTCTCTCTCGAGTTTTCCTTTTGAGCTTTGCCAAAAGCCACTGTGTCAATGTTGTCCTACTTGGGTTGCCGTCCGGCGTTGTCCAATATGGCGGACCATCTCGCACATGCGCACTGCAGATCGGGCAGAGCTGCAGATCGGGTAGTGACAGTGACATCCCTGTTAGCTCCCCCTTAGCTCACTGTTAAGCTCACTGTTAGCTCCCCGTTAGCTCCCTGTTAGCTCCCCGTTAGCTCACTGTTAGCTCCCCGTTATTTCCCTGTAAGCTTCCTGTTAGCTCCCCGTTATTTCCCTGTAAGCTTCCTGTTAGCTCCCAGTTATTTCCCTGTTAGCTCACTGTTAGCTCACTGTTAGCTCCCCGTTAGCTCACTGTTAGCTCCCCGTTAGCTCACTGTTAGCTCCCCATTAGCTCACTGTTAGCTCCCTGTTAGCTCCCCGTTAGCTCACTGTTAGCTCCCCGTTAGCTCACTGTTAGCTCCCCGTTAGCTCACTGTTAGCTCCCCGTTAGCTCACTGTTAGCTCCCCGTTATTTCCCTGTAAGCTTCCTGTTAGCTCCCAGTTATTTCCCTGTTAGCTCACTGTTAGCTCACTGTTAGCTCCCCGTTAGCTCACTGTTAGCTCCCCGTTAGCTCACTGTTAGCTCCCCGTTAGCTCACTGTTAGCTCCCCGTTAGCTCCCTGTTAGCTCCCCGTTAGCTCACTGTTAGCTCCCCGTTAGCTCACTGTTAGCTCCCCGTTAGCTCACTGTTAGCTCCCCGTTATTTCCCTGTAAGCTTCCTGTTAGCTCCCCGTTATTTCCCTGTTAGCTCTCCGTTAGCTACAGACCTGTTGCCGGCCTCCTCAGAGAAGGAACTGGCTTTAGAGAAGAGGCGGGACCTCCTGCTGAGACCCAGAGCCGACATGTGATGAGAGAGAAAAGAGCGCCTCCTGCAGGCCAGAAAACACCCAGCGAGAAGAGGGGGGGGGGGGGGGTACACCAGGGGGAATATCAGACAGGAAACCAACACCAAGTCACCAAAATAAAAGCAGAAGCAGACGTGCAGAAAGAGAGAGTTTCTCATTGGATGTTAAGCTTTTTGCTAAACTACGTCTCTGTTTTGTTTAGATTATTGTGATTTAAACGCTCAGTAAATTCAGTGAGGAAAGCCCACGCTGCACTTGTGATGAAATAATTAAATATTGTTGTGCATTTGATCCATAAGAGCTCCTGTCCTGACACGATCAGAAGGTCCCGCATGTCTTCTGGAGGAATCATTCCAGCCGGCTGAACGTGTTCCCGTCCGTCCGTCACTTCAGTTTGTTCAGCGTTAACTCTTTAAAGGCTTCTGTTCTGCCGGAGACTGGCAGCTAGTAGACGTTAACATAAAGAAACGTGTCTGTTGATTGTGTAGGATATACATATTTCCAATGGCGAGACGTGACTTTTATACCTAGGCGCTCTGAACCCCCCTTCCCTCGAGTTATTACGTCACAGCGTATACTTCAGCGGAATATCAAAACAGCGCCCCGGGGTCGCATCAATGACAGCGACCCTCACAGAACACACCTGTCAATAACCCCATGTGTGTTCTTTGAAATTGAAAAGGATATCGCATTGTGTTTGTTACTTTCTTTGCAGTTGTATGTCTTAAGTGTAATTTGGCTTGGCTTCCTATTTTGTATGGACATGCTTTTATTTTGAAGGCGAGTTTACGCTGTTGACAGGAAGTTGTTGTTGCTATGGAAACAAGAAAAGCTTCACAGCGGGCGAAACTTGTCATAAAGTCTGCGATAATAAAACCCACCCATTTTGAGGGAAGATAAGATTGGTCAATTGTGCCGTCAGTTGACATTACTCTCTCGTTGAGTTGAGTAGCTGGCCCTCTGTGAATGCACAGCAGGACCACCAATCAGCTCGTCTTCACCCTAACTCGCAGAGAGGGGCTTCTTTCATTTAACCCTTCACATTCCAACAGAAACTGAACAGGAAACATTTTTTTCGGGATTGTGGGAAACGATATTTTGATCTCTCTGAACACACACACTGAAAGATTGACAGTAAAGTTGACTTTATGGCAGAGGAGCCTTTATGAGAGAGAAACAGCAGGAGCAGACAGAGAGGAGGACATGCGTACAGGGGGGGGCCGGGAATCGAACCGGCGTCCTCTGGTTTCTATCATTATACTTGTTGTGCATAAAGAGTGAACTCACGCGCTGGACGGAGACTTCTCCTCCTCCTCAGGGTGGGTCGTACCATTAGAATCAGTCTGGGGGGGGAGAGGAGACCCCCTCTGGGACCCTGAGGAGCTGCAGTCTGAGGACAGGGGGGAGGAGGCTCTGCTGCCCCCTGCTGGGTTCGAGGAAGCGGAGGAGAGGGTAGGAGAGAGCAGGGTGGTGGTGGGGGAGAGGAAGGTGGGGGGCGTGGGGGAGGAGGAGGGGGATAGGGTGGGAGAGAGCAGGGTGGTGGTGGGGGAGAGGAGGGAGGGGGGCGTGGGGGAGGAGGAGGGGGAGGAGTTAGTGGAGGAGAGGGGGGGGAGAGTCTGACTGGAGGAACGGCGGCTCCTCTCGCCAGCGGCCATCTTTCTCCTCTCTTTACGGGGGAGGGGGGAGACGTCGTCCCCGTCCTCGTTCCTCAGAGACGTCTGCAACACAGAAAGACAACTTTTTCATTTTTTCACATTTTTTACTTTCTTTTCACATTTTGACTTTTTCCAAAAGAATTGACTTTGATGTTTTCCTCAGTTGTACATTTTTCATTCTAACTTTTTTCACATCGTGGAATTTTTCTCAAAAATTGACTTTAAAAAATAAATAATCTTAGAACGTTTGTTTGTATTGTTGTTTACCTCGTAGAGAGTGAACTGAGTCTTCAAGTCAGGCTCCGCTTCCCTGTTGCTCAGCTGTTTGCTCACGATGCTCTCCATGCCGAGCTGCTCCAGGCTGTCCGTCACGTCGTAGAACGAGTCCTGGTCCGGGAGCGCCGACAGGGTCTGAACACACATTATTATACTGTTCAAGGTTCAAGGCTTTTACTGTCATGTGTGCAGAGCTACAGTGTAGTCATGACGATGAAGATCTGAGGCCCCAGGCCCCTCCCACAGAGCTACAGTGTAGTCATGACGATGAAGACCTGAGGCCCCAGGCCCCTCCCACAGAGCTACAGTGTAGTCATGACGATGAAGACCTGAGGTCCCAGGCTCCTCCCACAGAGCTACAGTTTAGATATATCAATGAAGACCTGAGGTCCCAGGCTCCTCCCACAGAGCTACAGTGTAGTCATGACGATAAAGATCTGAGGCCCAAGGCTCCTCCCACAGAGCTACAGTGTAGTCATGACGATGAAGATCTGAGGCCCCAGGCTCCTCCCACAGAGCTACAGTGTAGTCATGACGATGAAGATCTGAGGACCAGGCTCCTCCCACAGAGCTACACAATAGGAAGGAAGGAAGCTTGTCTGGAGCCTTCAAAGCGCTTCAGAGAGGAAGCTTGTCTGGAGCCTTCAAAGCGCTTCACAGAGGAAGCTTGTCTGGAGCCTTCAAAGCGCTTCACAGAGGAAGCTTGTCTGGAGCCTTCAAAGCGCTTCACAGAGGAAGCTTGTCTGGAGCCTTCAAAGCGCTTCAGAGAGGAAGCTTGTCTGGAGCCTTCAAAGCGCTTCACAGAGGAAGCTTGTCTGGAGCCTTCAAAGCGCTTCAGAGAGGAAGCTTGTCTGGAGCCTTCAAAGTGCTTCACAGAGGAAGCTTGTCTGGAGCCTTCAAAGCGCTTCAGAGAGGAAGCTTGTCTGGAGCCTTCAAAGTGCTTCACAGAGGAAGCTTGTCTGGAGTCTTCAAAGTGCTTCACAGAGGAAGCTTGTCTGGAGCCTTCAAAGTCCTTCACAGAGGAAGCTTGTCTGGAGCCTTCAAAGTGCTTCACAGAGGAAGCTTGTCTGGAGCCTTCAAAGCGCCTCACAGAGGAAGCTTGTCTGGAGCCTTCAAAGCGCTTCAGAGAGGAAGCTTGTCTGGAGCCTTCAAAGTGCTTCACAGAGGAAGCTTGTCTGGAGCCTTCAAAGTCCTTCACAGAGGAAGCTTGTCTGGAGCCTTCAAAGTGCTTCACAGAGGAAGCTTGTCTGGAGCCTTCAAAGCGCCTCACAGAGGAAGCTTGTCTGGAGCCTTCAAAGCGCTTCAGAGAGGAAGCTTGTCTGGAGCCTTCAAAGTCCTTCACAGAGGAAGCTTGTCTGGAGTCTTCAAAGCGCTTCAGAGAGGAAGCTTGTCTGGAGCCTTCAAAGCGCTTCAGAGAGGAAGCTTGTCTGGAGCCTTCAAAGTGCTTCACAGAGGAAGCTTGTCTGGAGCCTTCAAAGCGCTTCACAGAGGAAGCTTGTCTAGAGCCTTCAAAGTGCTTCACAGAGGAAGCTTGTCTGGAGCCTTCAAAGCGCTTCACAGAGGAAGCTTGTCTGGAGCCTTCAAAGTGCTTCACAGAGGAAGCTTGTCTGGAGCCTTCAAAGTGCTTCACAGAGGAAGCTTGTCTGGAGTCTTCAAAGTGCTTCACAGAGGAAGCTTGTCTGGAGCCTTCAAAGTGCTTCACAGAGGAAGCTTGTCTGGAGCCTTCAAAGTGCTTCACAGAGGAAGCTTGTCTGGAGCCTTAAAAGTGCTTCGGAGAGGAAGCTTGTCTGGAGCCTTCAAAGTCCTTCACAGAGGAAGCTTGTCTGGAGCCTTCAAAGTGCTTCACAGAGGAAGCTTGTCTGGAGCCTTCAAAGTGCTTCACAGAGGAAGCTTGTCTGGAGCCTTCAAAGTCCTTCACAGAGGAAGCTTGTCTGGAGCCTTCAAAGGGCTTCACAGAGGAAGCTTGTCTGGAGCCTTCAAAGTGCTTCACAGAGGAAGCTTGTCTGGAGCCTTCAAAGCGCTTCAGAGAGGAAGCTTGTCTGGAGCCTTCAAAGTGCTTCACAGAGGAAGCTTGTCTGGAGCCTTCAAATTGCTTCACAGAGGAAGCTTGTCTGGAGCCTTCAAAGTGCTTCAGAGAGGAAGCTTGTCTGGAGCCTTCAAAGTGCTTCACAGAGGAAGCTTGTCTGGAGCCTTCAAAGCGCTTCAGAGAGGAAGCTTGTCTGGAGCCTTCAAAGCGCTTCACAGAGGAAGCTTGTCTGGAGCCTTCAAAGTCCTTCACAGAGGAAGCTTGTCTGGAGCCTTCAAAGTGCTTCACAGAGGAAGCTTGTCTGGAGCCTTCAAAGTGCTTCACAGAGGAAGCTTGTCTGGAGCCTTCAAAGTGCTTCACAGAGGAAGCTTGTCTGGAGCCTTCAAAGTCCTTCACAGAGGAAGCTTGTCTGGCGCCTTCAAAGTGCTTCACAGAGGAAGCTTGTCTGGAGCCTTCAAAGTCCTTCACAGAGGAAGCTTGTTTGGAGCCTTCAAAGTGCTTCACAGAGGAAGCTTGTCTGGAGCCTTCAAAGTCCTTCACAGAGGAAGCTTGTCTGGAGCCTTCAAAGTCCTTCACAGAGGAAGCTTGTCTGGAGCCTTAAAAGTGCTTCAGAGAGGAAGCTTGTCTGGAGCCTTCAAAGTCCTTCACAGAGGAAGCTTGTCTGGAGCCTTCAAAGTGCTTCACAGAGGAAGCTTGTCTGGAGCCTTAAAAGTGCTTCAGAGAGGAAGCTTGTCTGGAGCCTTCAAAGTCCTTCACAGAGGAAGCTTGTCTGGAGCCTTCAAAGTGCTTCACAGAGGAAGCTTGTCTGGAGCCTTAAAAGTGCTTCAGAGAGGAAGCTTGTCTGTAGCCTTCAAAGTCCTTCACAGAGGAAGCTTGTCTGGAGCCTTCAAAGTGCTTCACAGAGGAAGCTTGTCTGGAGCCTTCAAAGCACTTCAGAGAGGAAGCTTGTCTGGAGCCTTCAAAGCACTTCAGAGAGGAAGCTTGTCTGGAGCCTTCAAAGCGCTTCAGAGAGGAAGCTTGTCTGGAGCCTTCAAAGTGCTTCACAGAGGAAGATTGTCTGGAGTCTTCAAAGTGCTTCACAGAGGAAGCTTGTCTGGAACCTTCAAAGTCCTTCACAGAGGAAGCTTGTCTGGAGCCTTCAAAGTGCTTCACAGAGGAAGCTTGTCTGGAGCCTTCAAAGTGCTTCACAGAGGAAGCTTGTCTGGAGCCTTCAAAGTCCTTCACAGAGGAAGCTTGTCTGGAGCCTTCAAAGTGCTTCACAGAGGAAGCTTGTCTGGAGCCTTCAAAGTGCTTCACAGAGGAAGCTTGTCTGGAACCTTCAAAGTGCTTCACAGAGGAAGCTTGTCTGGAGTCTTCAAAGTGCTTCACAGAGGAAGCTTGTCTGGAGTCTTCAAAGTGCTTCACAGAGGAAGCTTGTCTGGAGCCTTCAAAGTGCTTCACAGAGGAAGCGTGTCTGGAGCCTTCAAAGCGCTTCACAGAGGAAGCTTGTCTGGAGCCTTCAAAGTGCTTCACAGAGGAAGCTTGTCTGGAACCTTCAAAGTGCTTCACAGAGGAAGCTTGTCTGGAGTCTTCAAAGTGCTTCACAGAGGAAGCTTGTCTGGAGCCTTCAAAGTGCTTCACAGAGGAAGCTTGTCTGGAGTCTTCAAAGTGCTTCACAGAGGAAGCTTGTCTGGAGCCTTCAAAGTGCTTCACAGAGGAAGCTTGTCTTATGACTGTTTCTCTCTGACCCATAACCACATGTTCAGCTGTGTTGGTTGTGTTGTTTACTGTTGTTTACTGTTGTTTGTGTTGTTTGTGTTGTTTGTGTTGTTTGTTGTTGTTTACAGGGACATGTTCAGAGGAGCTGTGTTGTTCTATTTCATATATGGCTTCGCCCTCTAAGGCTATCGCTATTGGGTTATCCCTCTGCGCCCCCGCGCAGCACTGACACACTAGGTGGGCCCACCCTCGGCCTCCTTCCGGTATAAGTAGGAAGGGGGCCCGGCACTCTGCTCCCTCTGTTCTTCAGCAACCAGCACAGTACTGAAGCACAGGAAAAGTCAAGTCATGAACAACAACTGTGTCCGTGAGTGTCCCTCATGTAAGACGGGGTACATCATGAGCTATGACTTACACGTGATATGCGTATCCTGCCTGGGGCTAGAGCACGCGGATGCGGCTCTCAGCCAGCAGGTCGCTTGTTCGCATTGTGCCCGTCAGCCGACAGGAAGCGAAGAGCGGACGCTCTAGCGGCTGTGGCTGAGGAGGACGATTGGCCCGTCCAGAACAGGGACGACGGCCTGTCTCTGGAGCCGAGTGCGGAGCAGGAGTCGGACGACTCCTACCCCGTCTCCCTCCATGGCTCGCCATGCGGCTCTCACCTCCCCCCTCCCCCCTGGACGGGGGAGACGGGGTCGGAGCGAGGTACGGGTGTGGTGGCCGAGCACGCGGTCCCCTTCTCCGTGGCCACGGCGCTACCGGCGTTGGGTGGCATTATGCTGGAGCTGCCGGAGATAATCGGCAAAGCAGCAGCATGCAAAGGTCTCCCCGTTCCCCTAGGACGGGAGAGGGTGGCTCTGGACGACATGGCCGGAGTGTTTTCCCGGGTTCAGACGGGCAGGAACCACCCCCGCTCTGGAGCCGAGCTTGACGGCGTTCGTTGGGGTTAGGCAGGCCAACTTGATCCTATGTTGGCCTCCCCCCAAGGACCAGTATGTCGCCCGCCAGGCTGACCGGGCGCACCAATGTGCGTTTCAGGCGTCTGCGGCGGCAAACAACATCGCGTTGCTGGCCAACTCGGTGGTTACGCTGGTGGAGCGGTCCACCACCGTGGCACCAGAGGAGGCGGAGGAGATCGGCAAGGCGGCCAGCACGGCACTCACGCTGTGCGCAGCCATGGCTGTCTCCCAGGCGAGGATCGCCGCATGGACGACGCAGATCCAGCGCCACCTCTGGCTGCAACAGGCGGCTGTTACAGAGCCAGCCAGGAAGGTCTTGCTGGACGCTCCGATCAGCCCGGACGGGCTGTTCGGACCCCAGTTTCTAGCCATGGTCGAGTCCATGAAGGCGGCAGCGGTGCAGGCGGATGATATCCGCCAGCACGTCGGCTGGCTCCAGCCTGCGGCGAAGCCTCAGCGGCACCAGCAGCAACAGCGGCCAACCCGGCCACAGCGACAGGCAGAGAGACGCTCACAGCAACCGCAGCCGAGGCGTCAGACTCGTCCGTCAGGAGGGGCACCGTCCC